ATTGCTGATTGCATAGGAAGCAGAATTTGGGCTGTACTCAAGTTTTTAAGAGATTGTCTAGAGCAATTGGGTTTTTTTTGTATTTTCCAGTAAAATGTTCTGTGGGGCATGTATTAAAACAAACAAAAAGCCGTTATTTTAGTAATGTAAAAAATACCATTTACATCCAACAAATAGATCAAAAGATGTTCTTTTATAAACAAAATTCCCATCCCGCAGACACAATGGTATGTACAGTAACATCACACTTTGCCAAGAGATTCCAGTATAAGACACAGTAATTCAAAAGAAACAAAGTGTAAGTTTATTAGACGCCAACATTTCTTAGTCAAGATCTAAGTAAAGAAAACACACAGTAGAAAAAGTTGTACAAAGCAGCAATGGATTTACATTATATTAAAGAAAAATTTACCCTAAGCTATTAAATCTCAGTCCTAAAAAAAGTAAAAAGCCATCCTCATGTATTGAACAGATACAGAATGACTATAAGGTATACAGGATTATAAAACCAGCTTCTTTTGTCTTACCTCTATAATCCTTTAAAATGACAAGTGATTTTGTGCAACTGGAAAACTCCATAGCAAATATATTGGGCAATTCCAATTTGTAGAAACTGTAGGAAACTATTTCTCTGTACCCAAGCACTAAAAGTGATCCCATTTTCCTGTTTTTTTAAAAAGGGACACTGTCAAGAATAAGCCTTAAAGTGTGCACTTTACATGTATTTTGCATTTTACATTGCAAAAGATAGTTTGTTCTGGGTTTATGTACATATTTTAATTAAAAATGCTGCTGCAATAGTGGGAAGCTTGTGTCTTTAAAAGGTAATGTGTATGGCTGAGGAACCAGAAAAGCAAAAACTGGATTGAGTCCTTTATTCTGGAATAGCGAGAGAAAAAGCAACATGGAAAATAAGCTCAACCCACAGAATTCAGATATGTTTTTCAGACATCCTTGCAACAATTGAGGATGCCCAAGCAGCTCAAGTGTTATGACTCAGTTCCTGTTTTTAAATTCTTTGTTTTTATTAGTATCAAGAATTCTTAATACAGATAAGTACATTTACTGTATACAACCTTTCTCTTGATAGTGTCCCTTTATGTACAACAGTTATAGTACAGTTTTTCACAAGTCATTTTAAATAAACAAGAATCAATGACATTAAAAAATACTATCAGGCTGTGTTCAACAAAAACAACAACAAAGATTTTAACACTGATTCATTAACAGCAACATTAAAAAAAACCAAACAAACCCAAACAAAACCAAAACCCCAAACCCCTAAGCTTGCTTTGATTTTTATCTAAATCTTCTGGTAGGAAAATGTAAACAATTTTATTGAACAGTATAGGCACCTGCCAGATTATAGGCTCATGCCAGATATTTGCACCCTCACTGTTTAGTGCCAAGAAGTTAGGCATAGTCTGTCCTTATCCCACGTGAGGAACTTCTAGTTTTATCACTGGAAGCTTGGAAACAAAAACAGAGTATGTTTAGCTTCAGCCCAAACCTGCATGTCTTACTTGGGGAAAAACAAACAAACATCAGACAAAAAAAATCTACCAGATGTCACTGGAAGGCCTGCCTAAATAGGAAATGCAGGAAGAAGACTCTTAGAGCTGTGTTTTGCTTCACCGATAAGGTTACATCTCCCTCCTGAAATACACAAGACAAAGTCTAGTGTCGCCCACTGCTTCAGCAGGTTATCTGCCCAATTAACTGCCACAGGGTGTTTCACTCCCCCTTACAAAAAAATCCCCTAAAAGTAGAGACTCTATTATTACTGGTTCACGTCCTTTGCTTCTGTAAAACTACAGAACTACAGTCTAGCTGTATATGCAATTGTTATGTAGAGGAAAATGAATTTAAACTTTTGGTTCTAGGACTTAAAAAAAAAATAAATCTCTACCTATTTTCTGTCACTGCTCTTTGAAGGTTGATCATGGTCCCAATTTACCAAAGAGCATGTTGTAAAAAAAAAAATTAAGACTGATTTTAATGGAACTTAACCATAGGCTTAGACACTTTGCCACCACAGTGCCTGAGAAGAAAAAAACCTCAAATCAAAATACATTTAATGGCTCAACCCTGCTCTTCTTAAACACAAGAAAAGTTTCCACTGTATTTCCACTGAAGCAGGATATTTCTCTGAGATTTATCTGACATTATAAAAATAGCAAAAAAGGGAAGAATTAAAGATTCTAATCTATATATTAAAACATCTGCACAGTCCTGTCACAAAATTTAAGGAAAAGCAAACCACTTTTTATATTTAACAAGACCTCTAACTTTGTGTCACTTTAGCACACAGCTAAAAAATTAAACAACATATCATGAAGACAGGCTTTTGTATCAATAAATTTGCCTTTTATTTTGGCTGAGGCCAAACTAGACACTCTTCCAAATAACTTTATTTATAAACAAGCAACTAACATTTTTTTCCATAATTTAAGTTTTAAAACATATATTAAAGTTATATAAGTGGAAGCATATTTATTCCGTATCCTCCAAAATAAACACTTCTATCAAGGGCTTTTTAAGATACTGTATAAAAGCTAATAGAAAACCAGAACTGCTATATAAACATCTCCTATTTAAACTTCAGAGATCCTGAATTCCTTTATTAAACAACAGGAACTGAATTTTAAAAAAAACAAACAAAAACACACACAGCTCAAAAAACTTAGAAAAACTGAAACAAAAAAAAAAAACCCTAAACCCAAAACCCCAAACCCTTAGAAGGAGGCTATTTAGACCAAAATATTTTATGATTTTTTTGTAACACGTAGTGTACTAGAAAAAAATGCCAAGGTTCCTTCAAAGCTGTTGCACAAGCTTTTCATTTAAGTGTGTGAGCTTTATCATTGTATGACATAG